AGTCCTTTTCTTAGTCCATTCTAAGACAAAAGACTGTGACAAAAGACAATACAGCTGGGTGGCTGATAAATAACAAAAACGCATTTCTCACAGTTGCAGAGGCTGGAAGGTCCTATATCAAGGCACCAGCACATTTGCTTTCGGGTGAGGGCCCATTTCCCGGTTCAGAGCTACCAGTGCCTTCTCCCTGTGTCCTCATTTGGAAGAAGAGATGAGGGAGCTCTCTTTGGCCTATTTCACGAGGATGCTAACTCCACTCACGAGGGCTTTGCCCCCATGACTGAATCACTTCCCAAAGACCCTAATTCCTGATACCATCACCTTGGAGGTGAGGAGCTCAACATAGGAATTTGGTAGGAGACAGAAATGTTCACAACACAGCAGTCCCTTCTTCTTAAACCAATAATCCTAAAAAAGGTCTCATTACATTCGGGTCTCTTCCTATCTAAATCCAGATTCATTTCTACCTACCATGCCAATTCCTATCTTCCGCATGCCCTCTCCCTCAGCCTCTGTTGTCCTTGATGACCTGGAAAGATCTAATTTACCCTCTGTGACTCAGATCACCTCCTCCTTAGAGCCCTCCCTGACTACCCTTCCTCCCCAACTCAGCCAAGTGGAAAGTGGATGGTTAATACCCAGTCTGGGAGTCTGACCAACTGCGGTACCAACTATTGCATTTTTGTAAGGGCACACAACCTCAAGCAGTTCTTTTCACCCCTCAGAGCTGAGCTTTCTTCTTTATAAAATGCTGTTAAAGATGATTTCCTACCAGGAGAAGTAAATGGCCACAAAACAAAAAGCCAGCAGACACCTTGAGGCTTCCCAGTACCTCCTGTCTAGTGGTTCCCACGTGACTGGAGCCTGAAAAGACAATAATGATAGCCTATTTTATAGATTTCTTATGCACTTGCCTGAGTTAAGGCTGCATAAGCTCATTAAATAATATCCATTTTAGGCTAGGTACAGTGGCTCACACCTGTAATCCCAGCACTTTGGGAGGCCGAGGCAGGCAGATCACCTGAGGTCAGGAGTTTGAGACTAGACTGACCAACATGGTGAAACCTCACTTCTATTAAAAATACAAAAATTAGCCTGGCGTGGTGGCAGGCACCTGTAATTCCAGCTACTTGGGACACTGAGGCATAAGAATTGCTTGAACCCAGTAGGCAGAGGTTGCAATGAGCTGAGATGGCACCAGTGCACTCCAGCCGGAGCAACAGAGTGAGACTCCACCTCAAAAAATAAAATAAAATAAAAATCCATTTTAAAAACTATTGTTGGTTGGTACTGTAAGTCATCGTGGTAGCACTATTAACTGCTGTTCCATAAATGTGCTATGTATACATACAAAGTGTTTCCCAGCATGAGATCCGTGGGGAGGAAAAGATCTGGAAGATGTCCCAAGATGGACAAAGGTGACCCCTCATGCTGAACCCCAGAGAAGCTGAGGGGCTTGCCAAGTTCACATTACAATAACCTGAGTCACAGATATGCCTCTAAGGTAAGTTTTACTTGACTAGCACTTGTCCTGTTTTTGCTTGTTTTCTTATAAAAATAGAACTTCCCAATTTTATTTGTATCCACTTAAGGGATAATAGCAATGTCTGAGCTCTTAGTGTAACTATCACCTAAATAGCATACTTCATACCCATGAAGTAATTTGTCATCTCTCACCCACCCCTGACACTTCTGAGTCTCCAGTCTGTGTCCGTGGGTACATATTACTTAACTCCCACTCATAAGTGAGAATATGTGATATTTAATTTTCAGTTTCTGAACTGTTTCACTTAAGAGAATAGCCTCTGGTTCCATCCATGTTGCTGCAAAATACATGATTCTATTCTTTGTATGACTGAATAGTATTCCACTGTGTACCATACTTTAATTATCTATTGATGGACACTTAGCTGATTTCCCATCTTTACTATTATGAATAGTGCTGCAATAAACACATAAATACAGGTATCTTTTTAATACAGCGATTTCATTCCCTTTGGGTAGGTACCCACTGGTGAGATTCTTCCATCAAATGATGGCTCTGTTTTTAGTTCTTTGAGAAATCTCCGTACTATTTTCCATAGAGGCCGTGCTAATTTACATTCCCACCATCATCTCTGCATCCTCCCCAACGTCTGTAATATTTTACTTTTGAAGAATAACCACTCTGACAAGTGTAAGATGGTATCTCGTTGTGGCTTTAAGTTGCATTTCTCTGATCATCGGTAATATGAAGCATTTTTAATGTAGATTTCTTGGTCATTTGTGTGTCTTCCTTTGAAAAACGTCTATTCATGTCCTTTGCCCACTTTCTAATTGGGTTGTTTTGTTGTGTTTGTTGAGTTGCTTGAGCTCATTATAAATTCTGGATATTGGTCCCCTGTCAGTTTCATAGTTTGCAAATATTTTCTCCCATTCGGTAGGTTGCCTGTTCACTTGGATGATTATTTCTTTTGCTGTACAGAAGCTTTTTAGTTTAATTAAGTATGTTTTGTCTGTTTTCGGTTTTGTTGCTTGTGTTTTTGAGGTCTTAATCATGACCTAGACCAATGTCCAGCAGAGTTCTCCCTAGGTTTCCTTCTAGTATTTTTATAGTTTTGGGCCTTACGTTTAAGAAGTCTTTAATCAATCTTGCATAGATTTTTATATGCTTTGAGAGGCAAGGGTCCAGTTTTATTCTTCTGAATATGGCTATCCAATTTTCCTGGCACCCTTTATTGAAAAGGGTGTCCTTTCCATAGTGCTTTTTTGTCACCTTTGTCAAAGATCAGTTGGCTGAAGATACATAGCTTTATGTCTATTTATTTCTACTGTTCTCTATTCTGTTCCATTGGCCCATGTGTCTATTTTAATGCCAGCACCATGCTGTTTGGGTTACTATAGCCTTGTAGTATAATTTAAGTTAGGTAACGTGATGTCTCCAGTTTGGTCCTTTTTGCATGGCATTGCTTTGACTGTTTGTGTTTTCTTATAAATCTGAATTTGAGTAATCTCAATTCTGGTGGGCTAATCATTCAAATGTATGTCCTCTGCTGTTCCACAGGCCCAACATCCACTGACTCACCTCCACCAGATACCCATGGTTGGTACCTGCAGGTGTCCTGTGGACATTTTATCTTGACTTGAAACCAAGTCTCCTGCCTCCTCAACCAGTGGCTTTGCTCTGAGACCTGATATCCCTGGCTGGCTGAGGACACCTTCACCTATTACTCAGAAGAGCTCTGCACCAAGTCTGCATTGCAGGCCAAGAAAACCTATCAGGTGCTCGAGAAACTTACTCAGAAGTCAAGATGTAAATATTCATTTAACTTTAAAAGCATGATTTTTCTTTCCGACATAGCCTTTCTACTTCTAGAAACATGTCTTAAGGAAATATGGTCCAAAAAGGGTATAATGATGTTCATCAGAATGAACTAAATACCCCAAAAATGGAAACAATATAAATGTCTAGCAATGTGGCATTAAGTACATAGTTTATAGCCAATCAGAAACTGTACTGCCATTAAAAATCATACCTATGCTGTAATCAGATACATGTCTAAGGACATATTAACAGCACATATTTAAGTGGGAAAAAATTGTAACAGATCTAGTTTGCTTAGATTCCTAATTCCCCCACCTCAGGGGCCTTGGCTGCTTGCTCAATAGGAGTCCCAGTTGCTGCCACCATGACCTAGTTTCCTGCTGCCTCAGCCTCCCCAGACAAAGTCTGGGCTCAGGCTCAGGCCCATTTCTCCATCAATAAACCCAAATAGGCCATGGCACTTCCCACGACTCCCAGGCCCAGATGAAGCCCTGGGCTGCAGGGTGGGAACTGGTTTTACCAATGGCTCCCTGTAGAAGCTGGCAACAAAGCACAGAAATGCCAGGAAGCTGATATCCCCCCATGGGGCAAAATTTAACCAATAAGAGGCAAGAGATGAGAAAGGTTCTTATTCTCAGATAACAATCCCTCCCTCCAAGTCCCTAACCAACTGTCAAAAGACAGCAGCCAGCTGAGGGTTCTTGCAAAGTTCTTGAAAGCTCAATAAGGGACCATATCATATTTAGTTTTTGTTTTTTCCTGCCTCCTTCCCTTTCCCCTCACTCTTGCTGCCCTGGGATTGCACTGCCCAGTAAAGCCTTAGCAAATAAGCTGGGTGTCTGGGCTAAAACAAAAAAGATCTAATAAATACCATATACGTGTGTATACACACACACACGTGTGTGCACGAGGGTCTAATAAATACCATATACGTGTGTATACACACACACACACGTGTGTGCACGAGGGTCTAATAAATACCACATATGTGTGTATACACACACACGTGTGTGCACGAGGGTCTAATAAATACCACATACGTGTGTATACACACACACACGTGTGTGCACGAGGGTCTAATAAATACCATATACGTGTGTATACACACACACACGTGTGTGCACGAGGGTCTAACAAATACCACATACGTGTGTATACACACACACGTGTGTGCACGAGGGTCTAATACCATATACGTGTGTATACACACACACACGTGTGTGCACGAGGGTCTAATAAATACCACATACGTGTGTATACACACACACACGTGTGTGCACGAGGGTCTAATAAATACCACATACGTGTGTATACACACACACGTGTGTGCACGAGGGTCTAATATAAATACCACATACGTGTGTATACACACACACACGTGTGTGCACGAGGGAGGGAGAGAGAACTGGGGCCGTGGATGATTTTTACTTTTTTATATTTTTAATTTTTAAAATGTTAATCATGGCTATCATTACGTTTATAATATTTAAATTTTATCCTTATGAGTGTCATCCACTGCACGTTTTAACCACCCCTACAGAGGTAGCCAACTGAAAGCTGGAGAGAACACAGTCCGCAAGATTTCCCTCACTTCTCACACCAAGTGCAAGTTTGAGGAGATTCCCAAAACCACCTTCAGATTTGACAGTTCTCTAGAAGAACTCATAGAACTCACTGACAACTTACATTCATGGTTATCGTTTATTACATAAGATCAAGGGTACAAAGTAAAATCAGCCAAGGAAAGAGGATCTTGAGCAGAGTGAAGGAAAAGTCCCTTCGAGTGTGGAATTTCTGGTGTCCTTGCCCTGTGGACTTGTGGACATGCACAGTGTGTGATATTACGCAAAAAGTATTGCCGGTTAGGGACACTCACCCGTGTCTCGGTGTCCAGAGATTTTACTGGAGCTCCCTCCTGTAAGCAGGAGTGGTTGTCCATGTAGCTGATCTCAGTCTCTACCTCCCTGGAGGCCGACTGATAATATGTGACTCAAAGCTCCCAGCCTACATTACATTGTGCTCTCTGGCTCGCCCTGAGGCTCCCAGGCAAACAGAGACACTTCCAGCCCTCATGGAGTTCCAAGGACTTAGAGATGACCTCCTGGAAGCTGAGGCTAGGCCTATGTTGAGGCAACGTTAAATTCCGTGCTACATAATCCCTTTAAAATCCCTCACTGGTCCTCCACTGCCTTCACATCAAAGGCAAATCTTTGCAGACTTCTCAACGATCTGGCCATCTCTCCGGTCGTGTGCCTCCTTCCCTCGGCCCACACATGCCCCTTTCTTCCCATGATGGGTAGTACTATGTTCGTGCTGTCTCTTATTTCCAAGGCCTTGCACGAACTATTTCCTTCGCCTGGAAACCTGCCCAATCCCAACTCAGGCTTTGACATGCTGAGGCTTAGATTCTTATTCCTAAAACTGAAATTCTTATGCCCATAAAACTCTTCTTCCCTACAGGCCATTTCTCAGGCAGCAGCTCTCATGAGGTGATTTTTTAAAAATGTTGTTTACTTGAGGAAAATAATACCAGAAAACAAAACAGCACTAGTGATGGAAGTAAATCATCTAAGAAATGATGGTTCTAGGCCAGGCGCGGTGGCTCAAGCCTGTAATCCCAGCACTTTGGGAGGCCGAGGCAGGTGGATCACGAGGTCAAGAGATCAAGACCATCCTGGTCAACATGGTGAAACCCCGTCTCTACTAAAAATACAAAAAATTAGCTGGGCATGGTAGCACGTGCCTGTAATCCCAGCTACTCGGGAGGCTGAGGCAGGAGAATTGCCTGAACCCAGGAGGTGGAAGTTGCAGTGAGCCGAGATCGCGCCATTGCACTCCAGCCTGGGTAACAAGAGTGAAACTCCGTCTCAAAAAAAAAAAGAAATGATGGTTCTTGGCTTGAAGGTGGAAGTGTGGATGAAAGAGGAAAATGTTGGACATGGCAGAGCTCCGTATCTAGTATCTACACCCGTTATGACTTTACTCTTTTTCTGGAAAAGCAATTCACTAGTTGATTCAACAAGCAGTCCTACCACTGCAAAAATTATAGATTGAGTTAAAGAGCAAACTTTAGTGATATTTAAAATAACAGTTAACTTACGGTGTGTCAATATATAGAGAAAACGTGACAGTCAATGGACTTAAATAATCTATTTACTTAGCAAAGCCTTCTTAAAACCCCTTGTGTTAGGTATTTCCCCAAGCTCTTTATAAATAACCTTCCAAATTACTTATTACTCCTCTGAGCAATTCTATAAGGTTAGTACTCGAAATGTCCTCCATTTCATGAGGAAACTGACTCACAGAGAAACTGACTGACTTGTCCAGGTCACACAGCCTGTAAGTAGGAAACCCAGATGGACAGCTGCATTCTGATTCTAGAGTAATGTTAAAACCCTAGACGCAAAAGCCAAGACACGAGGATGTGAGACTAATTTGTTCACAGCTCTACTCCCTGTTATTAACACAGTTTTTGATCACTAACAGATAGGCAAGGGTTGTTAAGAAGACTAAATGTTTTTAAGTGTCCATTTATTAATTAATCACCTGATGATCTAATATGTGGAATGTTTAATAGACATCTTAAGACATTAAACTATTTGCCCAGGCAAGAGGATTCCGTAATTTGGAAAATGTCTTGTGGATGTGAGGGAAAGTAAATTAGTTAGACTCAGGGAAGGGATTCATGCAAAGGGAACGTCTGAGAGCCCACTCCTTCTAGCAAATGAGCGCTGGCAGATGACTTTCCAGGGTTAATATAGCTAGCATACAATGAAATAAATTGCTTGTTGAATTCTTGAGTATACTGTCACAGTTGTTAATACCCGCATGGCTTAGGTCGAGAGAATCACGGAATTTCAAAGATGCAGCTGATCTTAGAGGTCATCACATTTAATTTTCCCATTTGCCTGTGATTTTCATAAAAAGAAACCAAGACCCAGAGTATCCAAGTGGCTGGCTTATGATTATTGTTCACTTTACGTAGAAATTGCCTCCCTCCCCTCCTCAGAGTATTCTGGTCTAATACATTCTATAGCTCTTCTCAACTCCCATCTACCACATGTGGTCTTTCTTGTACCCCCAAAACCATGAGAAGCCATCTTATCTCCTTCTGTCTCCCATAACACACAGTTGTAGTGCTCTTTAATTAGTTTTTTTCAGCAGCTGAGTGTATATTTAATTTCCCCAGAGAGGTATAAGGCTAAACAATGATTTGTGGGATGAATGACTGCACACTCCATGCCGTCGGGCACTGTAGCGCACACCTGGTTTCATACACAATGACATGCCAGCGCAGGCACTTGCCCAGGGATGGGGCCAAGAGAATGCTTTGTGTGAGAGCTTTCATTTATCTGAGAAGTAGGTCATTGTGGCTAAGATCACAATCTCTAGAACAGACTGCCTGGATTCATTCCTTTTTTCCATCACTAGCTGAGTTATTTTTAGGCATTTCGGCATTTCACTGTCCTCTTGGTCTGCAAATGGGTCTAATAGTAGTTCCTGCCTCAGAGGGCTTTCGTCAAGGATTAAGTGGATGATGTTATTATGTAAAGCACTTAGAACAGTGTTTAGCACAGTGCAAGTGTTCGATAGGTGCTAGCAAATGTATTTGTTAATTTCTTGTTGGGTCTAGAATAAAGCCTGGCATATAGTACATGTATACTACATGGTACTTGCTATTTGTTCTCTTGGCATCTGGAACTTTTATCACTATCCTTCAGAAAAGAAGACTTCAAATTATCAAAAGGACAAAGAATTCAGAATAGACTAATGAAACTGTGCCTCAGACAGTAGTCAGATAACCAGGGAAGGGGTAAAAAGGCCCATCTGCGCAGGAAGAAATGTGTATAACTATTACAGACTTTAAAATTCCATAAAGTTGCATAAGCAATTAAAACACATTAGGGACCAATTCCATATTTGCTCCCAGAACCAAATAGCATAATTGTGTCGCTACACTAATATCATCATTTCCATTTAGCTGAAAGAGTTCTCAGGTCATAAACGCAATGGTTTTTCATTCTACCACGGCCAACTGCTATGAGCATAACAGAGACCTCATGATCCAGCCAGTTTAATCAAAGCTAGGAACTTTCTTTCCAGAAGCTTCTGTCATGTGAATTGTATGATCTTAACTTAAAATTATGGCACCGCCCAAACACAAGGCAATATTCATTCACCTTTATGAAGCTCTTAGCTCTGAAGATTTAAAACACTCTGAGCCAAGTACTTAGAGTTCAGGAAAACAAGTGTTTTATCAGAGTTACATCATGGGGTGATAATACTTACGAGGCACTGTTCATCTTTCCTGCTCTGTAACCATATTTCACAGACGATGAAGAAGGATTTCACCTTCTGCCCTCAACATCAGCGTCTTTCCTCACATTTTAAATATTAGTCTAAGGCTCTTGTGGACCCTGGTAAAATGACAAGATTTCTAAATGTGTCACATTTCTTCCTTATTTTTGTATTTCCCACATTTTGGCAAATGTCTAACCAACAGCCTTGACAACAGCCATGGGATCGGTGAGATCTAAGAGATGGCCACATCCTCTGTTTCTTCTTTTTTAACATCAGCTCTGACACAACAGCTAGATATGTGACTTTAGGAAGGTCTTTGTGTCCAAGTTTACAATTCTGCTTGGCATGTGAGCAGCACTTGCTGTTGAAAGATAGAGAAGTCCTTGTAAGAAGTAACTTCTTTAACAGGACATTTCTTGAAAAGAAATAAGACCATTTAATCCCATTGCTAAGCTACACTGTAAGGGTCACTGCCTTCTTCTCAGGTAGGAAAATTTCATTAAGAGAAACATTCTTGATGTATGTTGGTTTGAATTTTATTTGAAGATGATTCTTCTGTTCCTGTAGAAAATCTCTTTCTTCTTCCTTGAAGGAAAAGCAGCCCTGCTGTACTCTGCCACTCTTACTAAACAGAAGGGATGTCACTAGTTACTTTGGAGTTTCACAGGGACCTGAACTTCCTGTGAATAAGATCCTTATTAGAAGAATACAACTGAATAGGAAATAAATTCAAACATGCTAAGGATGCATCACCTCAACTGGTTAAATAAATTATGGCAGTCGTACAATGAGACATTAACAAGCTATTGAAAAGAGTAAGGTCGTTCATGAACTGATATGGAATGTTCAGCAAAACAATATATACTAAGTGCAAATAGGTTATAAGTGGTAGGCTTGATAAGCCATTGTCTGTGTGTGTGTGTGTGTGCGTGTGTGTCTGTATATACATGCATTTAAAAAGGAAATATATATGCCTATGCTTATATATGCATAGAATTTCAATGTAAGAATATATTAGAAATTACTAACAGTGGTTATCTAAGGGGGTATGTAACCAGGAACATAGAGCACTGTGGTAAAAGGAAGACTTACTTGTTAACTGTATCCTTCACGTATTTTTACTGAGCTATATAGTATTTTATTCAGAGAGCAAGGGCATGAGTTACATTTTTTTTAAATAAAGGATGATTCTACAAATGATGCTAGAAGAGCTGTCATCTACATGTGAAAATAAATTAATCCTGACCTATGTAAATGTTGACCCAAAATGAATCAGAGGTTTAAATGTAAAAATACAAAACTATAAAACCTTCAGATTTAAAACCTAGGAGGAAAACCATCAAGACCTGAGATTAGGCAAAGACTTTCTTGATTCACTAAAAAATAATCAATACATTGGACTTTATTGAAGACTGTACTCACCCAAAGGTATGGCCAAGAAAATAGAGACAAGCTATAGACTGGAAGAAAACATTTAAAAATCCCATATTCAACGAAGTACTAATAGTTAGAATATATTAAGAACTTTCAAACTTCAACAATAAGAAATCAAACAACTCTTGTCTGGGAAGGAGGAAAAAAATAATCAGAAGAAAAGAAGAAATCAAACAACTCAATTAAAATATATATATTTTTAGAGACAGGGTCTTACTATGTTGCCTAGGCTTGTCTTGAACTCCTGGCCTCAAATGATCCTTCCACCTCAGCTTTCCAAAGTACTGGGATTAAAGGCATGAGCCATCACACATGGCCCTCAATTTTTTCAAAAATGGTAAAAGGACTTGAATAGGCACTTCACCGAAGACTAAATAAGGATGGTAACTTAGAGAAATTCAAATAAAATCATGATAAAATATGGCTGGAAATCTCTCAGAATAACTACATTTTTAAAAAATACTGACAATTTCAAATCCTGGAAAAGGATGCAGAACAACTGGAACTGTCATACATGGATGATAGGAATACAACACGGTACAGCCACTCTGGAAAACAATTCGGCAGTTTCTTACGACGGAAAACATTGACTTACCATAGGACCCAGCAGTGCTATTTCCAGGTGTTTGCCCTAGAAAAAAAGAAAAGACGAAAACTTACAGTTACACAAAAACCTGTACAAAGACTTGGTGGCTCACACCTGTAACTCTAGCATTGTGGGAGGCCAAAGTGGGAGGATCACTTGAGGGCAAGAGTTCAAGACCAACCTGGGCAACATTCCTTGCATCTATTAAAAAAAAACATCTTTAAAAACTTAGCCAGGCATGGTGGCACATGCCTATAGCCCTAGCTACGTCACAAGCTGACGAGGGAAGATAACTTGAGCCTAGAATTCAAGGTTGCAGTGAGCTATAATCACACCGCTGCACTCCAGCCTGAGTGACAGAATGAGAGCCTGTATCAAAAAAGAAAATCTGTACAAAAATATTTGTAGTGGCTTTACATATGACATCCAAAAGCTAAAAACAACCCAAGTGTTTTGCAGTAGGCAAATGGATAAAAAAAGTGATACATCCATACAATGACCTATCATTCAGCAGATTTTTTTTTAAAGCAAATAATTGATAAATGGAACAACACTGATGATTGCAAAGACAGTACGCCAAGTGATATGGTTTGGCTGTGTCCCTACCCAAATCTCAACTTGAATTGTAGCTCCCAGAATTCCCACGTGTTTTGGAAGGGATCGGGGGGGGGGGGGTAGTTGAATCATGGGGGTTGGTCTTTCCCCTGCTATTCTTGTGATAGTCTCAGGAGAACTGATGGGTTTATCAGGGGTTTCCACTTCTGCTTCTTCCTCATTCTCTCTTGCTGCTGCCCTGTAAGAAGCGCCTTTTTTCCTCTGCCATGATTGTGAGACCTCCTCAGCCATATGGAACCGTAAGTCAAATTAAACCTCCTTCCTTCCTAGTCTTGGGTATATCTTTATCAGCAGCATGAAGATGGACTAATACACTGAGCGAGAGAAACAAGCCTCAAAAGGTCACATATTTTATGTGACCATTTATTTGAAATTCTCAAAAAGACAAAAATCAGAGTTATAGAAAATAGGTCAGTGGCAGCCAGGAATGATGGGTGAGGGGAAGTTGTCACTGCAGAAGGATAGGATGAGGGCATTTTGGAGGGTAAGGAATCTGTTCTGTATCCTAATTGTACTATTTAAATGAAGATATACATGTGTTTAAACTCAGAGAACTACACAGGAAAAGAAAAATAGTAAGCTTTATTATATGATAATATTTTTAAATTAAGTTGAAAAAGAGAAGGCTGACTTTCAACTTCCACAAATAGTAGAGTAGATTGGTGGAAACAAGCTACTTTTGTAATCTTCCATATTATATAGAAGTAACAAAAAATTGTCTAAGTTGATAGTGATAACTTAAAGACATGAAATGCAAAACATAGTTCCTAGAGGAACCACTATAAAAAATTAAAATAGACATGGCAAAAAGGCTTAAAAGGAACCAACAATAATATTGTATTGACCCAAGAGAAGGTAGAAATGAAGAAACAGAGAAACAAAAGCAAATGAGACAAATAGAAGACAAATAGAAGAATTGCATACCTAAATCCAACCTTATCAATAATTATATTAAATGTAAATGGACTAAAAATTTTAATTTATAAAACAGAGATTTTTCAGACTGGATAAAAATCTAAGACCCAAGTACAGGCTATCTACACAGGACACACTTTAATACAAAGATATAAATACATTGAGCATGAAAAGATAAAAATGAAGTATACCATACAAACACTAATTACAACAAAGACGGACTGGTTATATTAATACCCAGTGAAATAGATTTTAAGGTAAGAAGGATTACCAAAGATAAAAGGGAGCATTTTATAATGACAAAAAGTCAACATATCAGGGAGGAATAACATGTTTTTAATTTTGTGCCTGATAATAGAGCTTCAAAATACATAAAGCAAAAACTGATTGGAGAGAGAAATAGAGAAAGCTGCAATCAGAGTTTTAGACACTTTAATATTCATCTTTAAGTAATTGAAAGAACAATCAGAAAAACTTAACAACAATATAGAAGATCTGAAAGACACCATAAAATCCCTTGGCCTAACTGACATTTACAAAACACTATTGCTAATACCTATGGAACACACATTGCTTACAAATATCCAGAGAATATTCATGAAAATAGACCACATGTTGGGCTATAAAGCAAGTATCAATTAATGTCAAAAAGTAGAAATCTTAAGAGTATGTATTTTGGCCCAAATAAAAGTAAATTTGAAATTTACAAGTCTCAAGTATTGGAAATTAAATAGTGAACTTCTAAATAACCTATCATTCAAAGAATAAACCACAAGACATAAATCAATTAAGTTTTTATATAGAAAAAAAAGAAAAGAGGCCAGGCACAGTGGCTCAAGACTGTAATCCCAGCACTTTGGGAGGCTGAGGTGGGTGGATCATGAGGTCAGGAGATCGAGACCATCCTGGTTAACATGGTGAAACCCCGTTTCCACTAAAAATACAAAAAATTAGCTGGGCATGGTGGCACATGCCTGTAATCCCAGCTACTCAGGAGGCTGAGGCAGGAGAATTGCCTGAACCCAGGAGGCGGAGGTTGCAGTGAGCTGAGATCACGCCATTGCACTCCAGCCTGGGTAACAAGAGTGAAACTATGTCAAAAAAAAAAAAAAAAAAAAGAAAAGAAAAGAAAAAGAAAAAGAAGAAAAGAGTAAATCTAAAGTAGGTTAAAAAATTAACAAAGAACTGAAAAATAGAAGAAAATACAGACAATGAAGAAAATCAAGTCAAAAATTGGTTCTTTGTAACATAAAAAAAGGTGGCTAAGCACTAGTAAGACCATTGAAAGAAAAAAAATAGAAACCAATCTCTAGAAACAGAAGAAAAGGAGGTGATATCACTGTAATTCCTACAAACATCAAAAGAACCATAAAAAAGTATAAACAAATTATGTCAATAAATGGAACAACTTGGAAAAAATGAACAGATTATTTGAAAAATGCAACTTATCAAAATTAGAATGAGATGGAATATAAAAATAAAAATAAATTTGTCATTTAAGAAATGTAAATGCCAGCCCAGATGTTTTTACTGGTGAATTCTATAAATTATTGAGGCCAAAATAATGCAACTCTTATGCAGACTCTCTGAAAATAGAAAAATAAGGAGAACTTTTCAGTTCATGTAATAAGATAAGCATAACTTTGATTCAAAAATCTAACATATAAGAAAAAATGTTATAGACTAATATCCCTTACAAATATAGATGTATTTCTAAAATATTAGCAAAGCATATATATCATTATATATTGCTATATATAATAGGTAACATAATTGCACATTAGATGTTAGATATATAAAATACGTATATGTAACATATATAATATAAAATTATATATAGTAAATATAGTTCTATTAATATATTACATATACTTATATAATGTTAGTATAGCATATATTATTTAACTATATAATTATGTTACATGTTATAATGATATAACTATATATTATAGTCACATATATATTATATTACATATTTATGTAATAAAATATTATATATAATGGAATATTATTAGGCAATAAAAAAGAACCAACTGGGGGAGAATGCAAGATGGCTGAATAGGAACAGCTCTGGAGTGCGGTTCCCAGCTAAAACAGCACGCGCAGAGGGTGAGTGCTCACCACATTTCCAAACAAGTTTTCACTGCCCACAGACCAGGAGATGGCCAGGCTGAAAAGCGTCACAAGTATTCAGCACTACGGTTTCATCTGGGGCTGCATCAGTGCACAGAAACTCACACAAGTCTGGGCTGCCTTTTTGGCTGGCGCCTGGAATGCCTGGGAGACAGAGCTGCCCATTCAACTGAAAGGGAGGGGGCTAAGACAGGGAGCCAGGGGATCTGGCTCAGCGGTACCACCCCCACAAAACAAGCAATCTGAAACGCTCTGGATTGAGAGTTTCACAGTGGGGGGAAGGGCATCCCCCAATATCAAGGCAGTTCACACAGCGCATGGCAGAGCCTGCAGCAGCTCAGCAGTGCCTCTGCTGGAAGACTGTGACTAGACTACTCCTTGTGGAGCAGGGCATCTATAAAAAAAAGGCAGCAGCACAATAGGGACTTATAAATAAAGCTGACCTTCCTAGAACAGAGCACCTGGGAAAAGAGGCAGTTATGAGTTCAGCTGTAGCAGTCTTAAAGGTACCCGCCCAGCAGCTCTTTATGGAACAGCGGCACTCCCAGCACAACACTTGAGCTCCTATAAGGGGCAGACTGTCTCCTCAAGCAGCTCCCCGATCCCTGTATACCCAAAGAGACACCTCATAAAGGGGAGCTCAGGCCAACATCTGGTGGGCACCCTTCTGGGATGAGGATAGCAAAGGAAGAAACCCACAGCAACCCTTGCTGTGCTGCAGCCCCCACAGACAGTCCCCAGGTGAGCAGGGTCTGGAGTGGACCTCCAGCAGTCCTGCAGCAGCAGAGCCTGACTGTTAGCAGGAAAACTAAGAAACAGAAAGAAATAGCTTCAACATCAACAAAAAGGACATCAACTCAGAGAACCCATCCAAAAGTCACCAACTACAAAGATCACAGGTGGATAAAACCACTAAGATGACAAGAAACCAGCGCAAAAAGGAGGAAAATACCAAAAACCAGAACACCTCTCCTCCTCCAAGAGATCACAGCTCCTCACCAGCTAGGGATCAAAGATAGATGGAGAATGAATCGGATGAATTGACAGAAACAGGCTTCAGAAGGTGGGTAATAACAAACTTCTCAGAGCTAAAAAAACATGTTCTAACCCAATGCAAAGAAACCAAGAACCTAGGAAAAAAGTTAGATGTGATGCTAACTAGGATAAACAGCTTAGAGAATATAAATGACTTGATGGAGCTGAAAAACACAGCACGAGAACTTCATGAAGCGTACAAAAGTTTCAATAGCTGAATCAACCAAGCAGAAGAAAGGATATCAGAGATTGAAGATGAACTCAATGAAATAAAATGAGAAGGCAAGAATAGAGAAAAAAGAGTGAAAATAAATGAACAAAGACTCCAAGACATATGGGATTATGTG